CACACAGCGTGATTGTGAATCGCCGACAGCTCCAGATATTTAGCAAGCCAAATATTTTGTGGGCGACGTGTCTGCGATTCCCTCAGATCGCGTCTTTGATAATTCACACTGCGTGATTGTCACTTGCGTGAACGAGCACCGATTTGCCTCCGATTTCGGGAATTTGTTGGCGATTTCGCAAAACCTGTCGGCGAGTGAAAAATCAGGCTAAAATCGTGCAGTGTGAACTCGGCATTAGTCGATCAAAATTTCATTAGTCACTTAATCGCAGAAAAAAAAATCCACAGGAACTGGAGTAGTCACGTAGTCCATGATAGACAGATCATTAACAGCTAGTCTATATCTATAGAAAATGTCTACTTGTAAATAAACCAATTCAAATGGAAAACAAATATTTTTAGATTATGTAATCTGTAGAAAACGTGCACGGCCACTGTGGATATGACGAGTCAGTGTCGTCAACTTCGTCACTGCAGCCGAAAATACAGAAAACACTTATCAAAGAATTATTGTAATGTTAAGGCAGACTTCTTGCTGTTTTTTTTTCCTGATGCATTAATAATCATTACTTTTGCCGGTGCGCTGTGGCAAGCTTTATGCATGCGCTTGAGCGTTGATAGGCTATAGGCAATTAAAGGCTCATTATTATGAATTGTATGGTTTATTAATGTAAACATGTGATTAGTCGATTAATCGCTTAAAATGAACGACTACTAGTCGACCAGAAAAATCTTTAGTCGAGGGCAGCCCTAATATATATGTATAAATTGGTATGGATAAAATGTTAAAAAGGAGACACTCAGTATTAAAAGATTTGTGTGATACAGAGAAGGAAAATGAAGGGCTGGGAAAGACTGAAGTAGCTGTGGTTTCTTTCTTAACGATAATTTTGTGTACCAGCAAAAGGCGACTGCCGACGGCCTGATTCTGCGTTCAGGAGGAGTGCAGAGACCTTTCGTTCTGACCCGAGCATTTTTTGCTGGATCCCAGCGCTACGGTGAGAGGCACATTCACGTCGCACGCAAGGCTTGTTTGTGTTTGTACCGAAGCGTTTAGTGACAGATTCCTGTCTCCGTGGCTCAGGTGCGGTGTGGACGGGAGATAACGCTGCTGAATGGGGTCATCTGAAGATCTCCATCCCCATGTGCTTGAGTCTGGGCTTAGTGGGCATCTCTTTCTGTGGAGGTGAGTGATAAGAGGTGCTGACCTTTAGTATACACACTGATGCAAATGAGAAATGACATACAATGCTTGCAATGGGTAAACAAAACTGCACTTATATTTAAATAACGGCCACCAAAAGTGAACTTGCTAATGTCTCATTAATTGACAGCAAAAAAAAAGTTTTTGTTTCAATCAGTATAACACTTCTTTTTTAAATGTTTCACTCAAATTATGCAGTACGAATGCAAGTACCTATGTATTGAATTATAATTTTTTTAAAAAATGTATTTATTTTATATTTTTACTATGAACCCTTACTAAATCTGATATCTTAATCATATTCCCACCAGGACATTTTTGTGATGGTATTTGTGGCATTTTTTGTTGTTATTTTTCAGTGGCATTTGCACGCCGCTATTGCATTTTAGTGTATAATAACTGAATAAACCGAAAGGATGTTCATACTCGGCACAAGAAAACAGTGATGCAATATAATTTAAGTCAAGTTATAAATGACATAAATGAACTAAAGGCAAATTATGTCATTCTACATGAAAAACTTAACATTATGGGTCAGTCAATAATATTTTTTATGTCCGTAAACACAGTGAGTGAACTTGCTAATGTCTCTCATTAATTGACAGCAAAAAAAAAGTTTTTGTTTCAATCAGTATAACACTTCTTTTTTAAATGTTTCACTCAAATTATGCAGTACGAATGCAAGTACCTATGTATTGAATTATAATTTTTTTTTAAAATGTATTTATTTTATATTTTTACAATGAACCCTTACTGAATCTGATATCTTAATCATATTCCCACCAGGACATTTTTGTGATGGTATTTGTGGCATTTTTTGTTATTATTTTTCAGTGGCATTTGCACGCCGCTATTGCATTTTAGTGTATAATAACTGAATAAACCGAAAGGATGTTCATACTCGGCACAAGAAAACAGTGATGCAATATAATTTAAGTCAAGTTATAAATGACATAAATGAACTAAAGGCAAATTATGTCATTCTACATGAAAAACTTAACATTATGGGTCAGTCAATAATATTTTTTATGTCCGTAAATGAGAATGACTGGAAAACATTTAAAAACAATAATAATTTTTTCCACATATATTTTTGACCAGTAGTGTATGTTACTCTAATAATAATAACGTTAGTATGGCCTGTTGATTGTCTGCCGGTAACCTCTCATGCTGTACCTGTCTTCCTCTTCCTCAGCTGATGTTGGTGGCTTCTTTAAACATCCCAGCGCTGAACTTTTGGTGCGATGGTACCAGGCGGGAGCTTACCAGCCGTTTTTCCGTGCACATGCTCACATAGACACACCCCGCAGGGAACCCTGGCTGTTTGGATCCGAGAACACCGCCCTCATCCGGGAGTCGATACGCCAGCGATATGCTCTCCTGCCTTACTGGTACCAGCTTTTCTACAACACACACCGCACCGGACAGCCTGTTATGAGGTGAGTCAGCCCAAGACAATCAAGGTCTGGAAATAGTGGGGGCTTGGGGAAAAAATGCCCTCCAAATTCAATATAAAGGGGCAAAAAAATGATGGCTTTCATGATTAAAGTGAAATGTGAACATGTATGAAGAGTTGATTGCAGCATTACATTTAGATCTACTCATGTTGCATCAGATTTTTGATTTTTTTTTTTTTTTTGCATCAAGAATTA